GATAAAGGTGAAGCTACCCAAATTTTCTGATTCGACCATTGAGATATTTTATAGCCTTTTACGTCAAAGTACACAAAAGCATACTAAGGCACAACAAATTATTAAATATGGTCGTTACATTAACCAATTGCATCTAGATGATAATGGTTTTAGAGAAAATTTTACACATACGTCGACATGGGCAGCTTATGAATATTTGGCACATGATATTACAATTTTAACTAAGAAACTCTTGCAGTGTTTTTCAGAATTTATTTGCAATTATTTCACTATAGAATTCTATTAATACATCAAATACAGGTCGATTCGAACCAGCTTCTAAAAAAAAAAAAGGAAAAGGAAAAGAACAGGCTAATTATGTCAATATTTTATTAGCCACGATGAAGATGCCAAAAGCACAATTGTACTATCTTCCTCTGGGTTTTAGTACTTTACACAAACCTGATCCTTTTCGTTATTGCGATGCATCTAATTGTTTTTTGTTCTTTTGTCTATTAATAATATAGATATGGTTATAGCCTTAGCTTGTAGTCATACATATCACAAGTCTTGCTATATGAATAACAGATCTAAATGTTTATATTGCCTTGCATTTTTACAAGAAGGCATCGACAAACAAGTTCAATCATTGTTGAATTCTCTAAAAGGGTTAAAAGCATCTAAAAAATGGGTCAAGAAACATGATAATAGTTATTCATGTAATGATAGGGATAATGAATGTGGGCCAGTAAAATATTCAGTATCTGAATTGGAAGAAGCGTTACAAAATTTTCACTCATTACGGCATTGAAAAATTTTATGTACAATTTTTAAATTTTTTTTTTTTTTATTTGATGTATATTAATTTAAATAAATTAAATTATTACAAATAAATTACATAATTTTTTTTATTTAATAGCTTATAAATACAAATTATTATTACATATGTTGTGAGTCGATCTAGTCTTTAATCTTAACATAACTTAATCATAATTCGTCTTTACTATAATCCTGCAATGTACTTGTTGGTGTTTATGTTTGGGCCTAACATATAAATATCAGCAGTCTATATAATTTGTGTGTTCTAAAAGTAATAAGAACCAAAAATTTTTGAAAATAATAATAAAAAAAAAAAAAATAGTAAAAAAAAAGGTTTCGCTATGATAAATTAATTAGCCCGCCAAAAATTTTTTGATAAATTTGATTGGTCAGTAATCATGCATAGATCTATGTAATTAACCAATCACATGTTTGTCTTTCTATAACACTAAAGGTGGTAGACTTACTAATACATGGCACAGAGAGACTAAGGAACACCACAGATAATGTACTCAGTGACAAAGTGTATGACTATACATGTAGTGTCATTTAATATCCTAGTTAAGTACTACTTAGGGGTTTAGTAAGCCATTGATCTTCAATAAAATGATAGCTCTGGCCTGAAAGATATGAGTAGATCCTAAGGTGTCTAAAAAACTTCAGGATAGCGGAGAGAGAAAGAAAAAAAAAAGTGATATTTAAAGTAAAATTATTGACAGGATTAGTGATCATTATTATATCAAATCTTGCAAAGAGGTTTTTTTTTTTCTTTTCATTTTCTTTCTTTTTTTTTTTGATACACAGAAAGTAGTCTCTTAGATGAAAATTTCTAGATTAATAGATGTGATTTATATTTTTTTTTAATTTTCACATTACACAGTTGTTCAAATCATGAACTCAGAGAAATTAGTTAAATAAGGATAAGGTGCTGTTCAAGTATAAGATAAAAAAAAAAAAAAGTAGAACTGAATAGATAATTAATAATATATCAAACATTCACCTTATGATTAACTTATACAGAGATATCAAATTTGTTGAATAAATAAGTATTTGTAAAATATAAAAAAAATTATATAAGATTATTAGGCTAAAAAGTATTACTTGATAAAAGTACATCTGAAATATCTTTACTATATCAAAAAATTAGGTTTAGTGCTTAATTTTAAATCTAAAAAATATTTATTTATAGAACTTTGTATATAATCTAGTTAATATGCATAACAGGGTTAATCATTATAGGATATACTATTATCAAATATCTGGTTCAGGGTTATAGTAGATGAATGAACATTCGTTTTATTGATTTAAGTTAAGGTAAAAAATGAATTAGGATAAGCAAAGAGTATGACTTGGGTAGTTTCAAAAACAGTAACCCAGGGATATCTTTGTAATACTCATATCACATGTTTAAATACTGGCCTAAGTTAGGGTTAGGTGAAAGTATAGTTTAGGCCAATTTGTTAGTGTATGTAAACAAATGATATCATTTAATAATTTCACATGATGTGATAATTGCTGTTCTTGACTTCTCATAGATTATCAGCTATATAATGATGTAGCCAAAAATAGCAAACTAATTGTACTATACATGAGTGCTATGATTTGCCATTTTGCAAACAGCAATAAATAATCATCAGAAATTAACTTAAATAATACAACAGCTTTAAATAATTGTAAAATGACTTATTCTCAAATTAGTAGATATGTAAAATTATTTGAGATTTAAATAAATTATTAGAAGCTTAATTATATTATAGATAATCAGCAAGTAGGCAGATATAACAAATCACTTTCAGATTAATAATATATTCAGAATAAATTATTAATACAAACCTGTGCAAATTGTAAACACATAATATTGGATTTTTTATAGGCACTCTTGTAATTCTAAATATAAGTCAATAATAGGTTAGTAAAAACTTTAAAATAGATAAGTATATAAAAAATACTACATACTATTACAGAATTTATATCTTATAGAATAAAAAATATTACAAATTAATAAAGAGGGTTTTGAAATAGTTTATCTTGCAAACAATGAACTATAGCACTTGAGAGCTTAACTGAAATTCTGAATACATTATTAAGTTTTTTAATAAAGAAATAAATTAATTTACTATACAATTTTAAGTAATAAAAGACTAATAATGATAATAATTTGATCATATTTATAAATGACAACTTAGCAAATAAATATATAGAATATAAAGAATAACTTGTAACTTTTTTAATAACAAATATCTGATGATCTTTAAATATGCTGATAAAAGAGATTTTTAGCAATTCTTATTAACAAATTTTAAAACTCTTGACTAGAAGCAAAAAATAAAGATTTTTTGTTCAATTATATTATATTTATTAAGGTTATATTTATAGAAACTTTTTCAAAGTACAATTAGTAATGCAAATAGCTTAAGCCAAGCCATGAGCTAAACGGCTAAGCTGAGCTAATCATCAGCTTAGCTACACGTTTCCTAATAAAGCATTGGCTCTAAAAATGGCTCAGCTTAAATTTTTGGAGCCATATATGAGCCATGAGCTGATAACTAATTAGCCAATAATATTCATATATTTAATTTATTGTCTGGCACTTTAAAATTTGTTAAAGTCTTTTTTATTCTACAGTAAAACCTTTATAAGTGCACCCTCTATAGATACACACTCTTTCTAAATACATACTCAAGTTCTGGTCTGAATATCTACTTACCTATAAATACACATTCTCTTATTAATCACTAGGTGTATATTGTTAAAGCATAGTTCCAAGTGTATGACTTAGAGGCTTTACTATATTTGTTAGCTACATATTAAATACTTAATATTCAGCTAGAAAAGGTGATCATGATATTTTAGTTTTGATATTGAGAAGAGCTTTACAAATTTTTTAAGTTAAAAATTTAATAATGTTTAATGCTTATTTTTAGATATTTTTTGCCATAATTTGTTAAGTTTCAGTAATATGTCCACATCTTTATTTATTTTTTGAGGTTAATTTATTAGGTATATATAGTTTTGGTTAAATTTCCAATAGTTAAATAAGTGAAATTTTTGATATAATATAGAGGTAGCAATGTATCATTTATATGATATAAAATAGAATTACTTTCAATAAATAAAAAAAAACATTTCTTGTTAATAATTACATGTCTTTATTAAAATATAAAAAACTATTCCAATTTTACTTAGCAAGCAGTATAGTTAGTGCAATTATATATTTCTATCAAAAACTAATATCTAACTTTGTAGCTGTATTTATCTGAGTATATCTGCATGATTTGCAATTCTTGAACTTCATCATGTAGTATAGCATATTCTTCTATATAGTATAAGCCAGTATCAAGTATATTTTCTGTATTGTGATTACTTTAATTAGATTCTTGCTCGATTAACTTGTTTCTTAAATCCTTTGTTTTTCTCACAAATTGCTAAGATTTTAGTAGCCCGGTTGAATTGCCACACAATTATAGCTTGACTCAAGAGTTAGAATGAATAAGCTGATAATTAAGCTAGTATAGCCATGGTTTTGAAGCAAAGCCACCTTAAGCAGTATACTAAATTCTTGGTTATGGTTTTGAAATTAAGCCATCTTCAACTGGTATAACTGGCTTCTTGACCATGGTTTCAGAACTGAGCCATTTTAAGCTAGTATAACTGGCTTGAAAGATCATGTAAACCTGCTTAATTAGCCAATCTATTCTTTGAAAGTTGGTATGGGTAATTATTCAACTTACGTAGAAATAAAATAAAAGCATTAGAATTCTTTTTAAAAGTAAAATCTACTAGCATAGCCTTAAAAATCTGCATAATTAATTCCTAAATATAAATTTCTAATATATGATTAATAAATATAAAAGAGCTTAAAATATAATATCTAAATTCAAAATTGACTTAAAATTAATATTTAACTTCTACAAATAAATTTTATAATGGATACAAATAATATTTTTAAAATCGATACCTGTGAAAATTTTTCTTTTGAGTCTCCAGACATTCATCAAGACACTCTTGATAACAATATGACCATAGCTATTGCTATTACAAGCAATAATATGAATATTGCATTTAATATCTCTAATAACCTGTTACTTTAAATAAAAAATCTAGATCTCAATCCTCTCCTGTTAAACCATTTTTTTTTGCAAAAAACTCTTGATGGTAAAATGGTAATTTGTAGTATCTGTAAAAATCAGTATAGTATAACCATGGCTACTAGTAACTTATGCAAACACCTTGATACCCACTATCCGAGCTCAGATTCAGATAAGCAAACTGGCCAACAAAGTCTTACTTTTATACCTAAAATCACAATTTCAAAACAAATTTTAATATCAGCCCAAAAAACTAAACTTAATTCACTAATTGCTGAGTGGATTGTGTCTGATACTTTACTTTTTTCTATTGTCTCAGGTAAATCTTTTGCTACTTTGCTTCGATATCTCAACAATAGTATCGATTTATCTTCATGTGAAACTATGAAGTCTACTATCCAAAATGCATTTATTGTAATGCAAAAAGACGTTCAAACTCTTCTTCAAAAAGTTTTAAGTAAAATTTCTATTATGTTAGATATGTGGACCTCTTACGCCAATATGCCTTTTCTTTGTATTACAGCACATTAGATAGATAATGACTGGAAATTTAAAAAAATCTTACTTGATATTTGTATGCTCTCTCATCCACATACTGGAAAGATATTGATAAAAAATTGCACACTATTTTTGTAGCTTTTAATATTACTACTAAAATTCTTTGTGCTACTACTAATAAAAAATCTAATATAATTTTAGCAATGCAATTGTTAAAAAAAAATCTTGTTTTACATGATCATCATTTTGGTTTTCAGTCTCATCATTGTTTAGCTCATATATTAAATCTCATTGTTACTGCCAGTTTAACATCTATTAAATCTTCTATTGAAAGCATAATCTTGTTAAAGCTATTAATTCTTCTTCATCTATAACTCAAGATTTTAGAGAACTTGGAAAATCAGTTGGTGAAAGTGAATCAATTTGTAAAATTCCACAAGATATTTTGACCCAATAGAACAGTATATACCTTATGCTTTCAGTCTATATAACTATGCCTACGACAATTGCAGCTATTATTAGATATAATAGAAGCCTTAAAAAAGATAAGCTTTTACTACAAAAAGAAGCCAACCTTCAAGCTGCAACACAATTTCTTCGACCATTTTAAGAAACTACCAACATTCTTTCCAGAAGTATATATACAACTTTAGGTCTTTCGATTATGCTTGTTGATGTTATAATTAATACAATTTCATCATGTATTCAAAACTCAACAAGCTCTAACTTCTATAAAGTAGCCACAACTCAAATGTCTAATAAACTCTAAAAATATACAGACAAAATCTATGATAAAATAGCATTTGTAGCTGCTATTCTTGATCCTCGTTTTAAGCTTGAGCTAATACTTGCTGATATAAACACTGAAGTAAATCATGCAACTTTTAATAATATTTTTAGATCTGAGTATTTTGCACTTACTTTAAATAATTCTTCTTCTACTAATTTAGAAACATTATCAAATTTATCATATACAGAGCAAGTTGCTTAAAAAAAAAGAACAAATACTCTCACCAATAGGGCAAATAAAGTTACTCAATATCTAAATGAAGCTGTCTTGCCTATAAGCATTGATTTCTTGAACTGGTAGAAGCTTAATTTTGCTCATTTTCCAAATCTGTCTCAGATAGCCAAAGATTACCTAGCCATTCAAGCTATCTCTGTACCCTCTAAACAAGTATTTTTCAAGGCAAGTAATATAATTTGTGCTAAATGTACATGTCTATCCAAAAAGAGTATATAAGCACTTATGTGTATTAATTCTTGGTTAGATGATGACATTAAATTTTATAAATAATTATAAGTACTTGAATAACAAATTTGTTATAGGTCTTGATTGTAAAGTCCAATTTTTTAATTAACTTGAATAAGAAAGAATAATATAGAATACTTTTTTTATTAGAAATTAAATAAAATTTTCTTCATACTGTACAGGATTTTTTAACATATACACTAAATGAATTAGTTTATTATGATAAAGTTTCAGTAAATTATTAATATTTTTAAAAAACTAAAGCTATTATCACTTACTTTTGGTATAAATTCATTTAACCAACAATCAAGATTAGTTTGATTTAATATTAAAATATGCTAATAGCAGTATGTAATGATAACAGTAAGAAATTTTCAATCAGATGCCTTATTAGTAACAGTAATAGCTCAGTACTTGTAATTGGTTGGCTTGAAATTGATCAGCTTATAAATAGCTCAGCTCTAGTTTTTGAAGTCGAATAATTAGCTTAGCTCTGGTTGTGGAGCCGAAAAGTTGGCATAGCTTTATAATCATTAGCCGCGAGCCAAGCTGAGCTAGCCATTTGCATCACTAAGTACAATATACTTATGATTAGTATTAGAGATATTACAAATATTCTTCACAAAATGAGTAATAATTTTATTAAATATAGGTGATAAAATAAATATAAACCTAAAAATTTACAGTTAGCTATCTATAAAAATAAATGAATATACTGTAAATAAAAAATATGTAAAGTGGTATCTTAATTAAAATCTAAATTATTAAAAGAAATAAAATTATAAAGAATCAAACAATTACTATCTAGGTATAATTATATCAATATTGACTGGCAAATATTTTTAAAAATATATTACATAAAACAATTAAAAAAAACATAAAGCTATTTGAAATTGATTCTTATTTAATATTATCTCTTATCTATTTTCTAAGCTCCTTAAAAATTAAGCAAATAAAAATAACAGCTAATTAATATTATAGCTAGTATACAACTTGACTTTTTTAGATTATATTTGGGATTTTTGAATAAACTATGTTTAATTTTTATATTTGTTTAATTTCTTCTCTCTTCTATATAAATCAAAAAAAATAATATTAAGCAAAGTTTCAATTTCAAAGGCCTATTTGAAGAATTATAGTTAGAATTGGTCTTAGAAGTATCTAAAGTTCATATAAAAATTGTGGAGCAATATACAGTATGTATAATAATCTAACAAAATAGTCAACTGCTAAAAAAGTTTATAAGCAATTACAAAAATAAAAATAATTTTAATAAAACTTAATTAAAACCAGATTAAAGAATTAGGTAAAATTATTCTTACACAATCAATAATTTCACAAAAGTATTAGAATACAATATATCTATTTGCAAACTTGAAATTATAAAAGAATCTAAGCTAATAAATATCAAGAATAAAGTATAAATTAAATTATAATATTATTTATTTTTTGTTAATATATTTAGCCAACTTTATACCATGATAGGTTTAAAAATTACTAATTTTGAAATGCCAAATTATTATAAATTAAATATTTTTTTTTATTTATAGCTATATTTATTTAATTAAGTGTAGTGATCTTTTTAGATACTTTAATTTTATCTCTTAAATTGCTTTGCAGCTAAATTTGCCTATAACTTTTTTTAAATTTTAAATTTTTCTAATAAAATTTTAAATATTGATTTTAGCTATATATTTTCTAAATAAAATA